GATTGCTTGAAGCCAGGAGTTCAAGACTAACCTGGATAAAATAACAAGACCTATCTTTACAAAATTTTTTTAAAAAATTAGTTGAGTGTTGTAGTATGTGCCCAGGAATTCAATGTTACAGTGAGCTATGACTGCACCATTGTACTCCAGCCTGAGTGACAGCAAAACCCTGTCTCTCAAGAAAAAAAACAAAGAGAGAGTGAGATAAAGAATAACTGTGCATTTTGTATTACTTGACTACCTATGTATAAATATTTTCTATTTTTATTTTTATTTATTATTTTTTTTTATTTTTTGAGTTGGAGTCTCAACTCTGTCGCCCAGACTGGAGTGCAGTGGCCGCTCCCGGCCACCGCAGCCTCCACCTGCTGGGCTCCGGCAATCCTTCCGCCTCAGCCTTCCAAGTAGCCAGAATTACAGGCATGCGCTACCACGCCCGGCTGATTTTTTGATTTTTATACCTGCCCAGGCGGGTCTCGAACCCACAGGCTCAGGCAATCCACTCACCTCAGCCTCCCAAAGGCGCGAGATTACAGGCTGAGCCACCGAGCCCGGCTCATATTTTCTATTTTTAAAGTGGATTATAAAAAAGAATTATTAACAATGTATAACAATTTCTTGATTCTCTAAGCATCGTTCAGCTATTATTCTTCTCTGAAACGTCTACATTCATGTTAGAATTTTTGAAATTACTCTTAAGTTGATAGGCTATGATATTTCTTTCCTCTGAGATTAGTAACGATAAGATTCAGTAAATTCACTTATATTAAATTCTGCCAAGTTTCCTTACCCTTCATTAATATTTCTCATATGGTGAATTAAATACTAGCCCTGCTGTCTTGATCTCTGGCACCCTCTTCTGTACACCACAAACAATCTATAATACCTGTGTTGCTTTTAAAATATATCTACAAAACTTTGATACTCTTCTCTTCAAGAGGTATAGCCCCAACAGCAGTTAGAGACTCACTTCTAATGAACAAAACAAAGTGGAAGTAAAGGTATGTGACATCAGAGACTAGGTCATAGAAAGCACTTTTCTCCCTCAGATCTCTTACTTTGAGGGAAGTTAGCTGTCAGGTTGTGAGGGGAAGCTCACATTGAAAGGCATCCTGCCAACAGTCATGTGAGTGAGCCGTCTTGGAAGTAGTCAAGCCTTCAGATGACTGCAGTCCTTGATCACATCCTGACTTCAACAACATGAGAGATCCTGATTCAGAACTACCCAGCTAAGTGACTCCTGAATTTCTGACCCATGGAAACTGAGATAATACTGGTTTTAAGCTGTTAAGTTTGGGGGTAAGTTTGGAGTAATTGATTATATATGATAGATCACGCAAAACATTGTGCAAACTACTGTGCTATATAAGAGTTGAAACTCAAGTTTTCCACTGAACTGAGTACTTCCTTCCCTAACATCCCTCCAAACTATAAGCAGAGTAATAAGGGTCATCTAATGATACAGCCTGTTTTGTCTTGACCATTTTCTGCACTTTAGAAGTCAAAGCATTTTATATGCTTTTTCTGTAGCAGTAACATGAACAGAGCCTGAACTACAAATTTCATGCTCCTTAAGCAAAATTTTCTAAACAGGTCTTCCTTTATCCCTTTTATCTATCCCTCTTTCCTCTACTTTATGTTTCAAGGCAGCCACTCAAATATCCTCTCTCAAATATTCCCCTCTCAAATATCCTAACAAAACAAAATCCTAAACAAAACTGTCTAAAGAAAACAAACCCTCAAACCACCTACCAAACAGAAGGAGGAAAAGACTGTGAGTGGTTTAGTAGTCGCTTCCTTCTGTTACTAGTTCAAAGCATTTCTATTAACTTACTAATTCATTACAGAAGCTACGTCAGTTGACTGGGAATGTGATTTCTAGAAACAGATTCGTTTCCCAGAAGACTAATAATATTAAAGTATATTAAAAATAGAAAAAACCAATCATTCTATCATCTTAAATCTCTATAAGGCTTTCTAGTTCTCATCTGTGTGGGTGAAACTGAAACCAATCAATATGGATTTTTTTCATTTTGGAAAAAACTTAATTATAACGAAATCATTCAAAGATCTTTTTGTTTCTAGTGTTTTTTTTTAACTTTATTTAAAGTTATTTAGGAAAAGATTCCACATGTATTGGCTAAAAGTGTATTAAACTATAACTCACTAAGTACAGAACAACTTACTAAGTATAGAACACATAAGCCAATGGAAAAGATTTCAATAGCTTGACTGGCCAGTATTTTTTCTAAATTAGGTCTAATATTTTATACTGAATATACAGTCAGCTCTCAAATACTCAATGTACCTAATTTATCCATTCTTTTAGAATATATTTCCTCTTTTCTTTAATCCCTTAAATACTAGTGTTCATTGGCACTTGGACTAGAGATATATAAAGAAGAGAAAACTAAAATACAATAAATTAAATTTTTATTTCATTAAATGGTTACAGTATAATAGAACTGGGTTGATAAGTCATTCAAAGCATATAAATATGGCTATAACATAAACCTTTCCCCTATTAGTAAAGACAATTAAGAGAAATAGCTGGATTTAGATTTATTCCCTACTCAAAGCTTCATTCCTTACTTGGAGCTTTTTCTCTTCTCTTACTGTCTGTCCATAACTATACTTATAATTGATGCAACATTATTACTTTTTTGGAAAATTGATTGCAAATACTGTTTACTTAAGGACAAACTGTAAGCCAGCATTTACAGTAACTCAACCATTTTACAATGTACTTTAATAGGCCTAATAACAAAATTGTATTTCAAAGTCAGAATTACTGTTTTTAAATATCTTTAAAAAAATAAACCTAAGCCAGGCTTGGTGGCTCAGCCTGTAATCCCACGCCTTGGGAGGCTGAGGTAAGTGAATTGCCTGAGCCTGCGGGTTTGAGACCCGCCTGGGCAACTTGGTGAGACCTCATCTCTACAATAAATAAAAAAATTAGCGGGGCGTGGTAGTGCACACCTGTAGTTCCAGCTACTTGAAAGGCTGAAGTGGAAGGAATGCCGGAGTCCAGCAGGTTGAGGCTGTGGTGGCCGGGAGCGGCCACTGCACTCCAGTCTGGGCAACAGAGTAAGACTCCAACTCAAAATAAATAACTAAATAAATAAACCTAACATACTCCGATGCCATGGTTTCTTGTACTTGTTTACTAGCATTTTTAGATAAATAGAAATTGGAATGAGGTGAAAGCTAACTGAATGACTCAAATAATCATTTCAAATAAAAATATATGAACTGAGAGATACCAAAGATAACTTTCCATACTAAAATTTCCATTTATATAAAAAGTTTTCAGCATTGGATCTCTCATATTTGATATTAAGTATTAATAAGTTAAGACAGTCTTAGTTGTGGAATCAGTAACTGAATAACTCTGACAAAACTAAAATCTACTCTCTTATTTAGGAGGAAAGAAAGAAATATAGCACTCTTGACTTAACCGGTTTTGTTGATACTAAGAAATCTTGTTTTTTAGGAACTCTTACTTTATTCAAAACTCAACTATCTCATTTTAAACATTCCTTTCCAAACATAAAATTTCAGTGATTCAGAAAAACAGGGAGGATAATATGATACATATCTATATACCCACTACCCTGATTTAACAAGTGTTAACATTGCTTTAGATCTCTTCAATTAAAAAAAAGTTGCAGATGCAAGTGAAGCGCCTATTATTCCAGATAGCACATAGTCTCTTTTCTCCCTAATTCTAGAGGTTATCATTATTTTTAAAGAAGATGTGTGCTGGGCATGGTGGCTCACACCTGTAATCTCAGCACTTCGGGAGGTGGAGGCGAGATGACGGCCTGAGCTCAGGGTTTTGAGACCAGCCTGGGCAATTTGGCAAGACCTTGTCTCTACAATAATATACAAAAAAATTAGCTGTGGATGGTGGTGTATGTCTGTAGTCCCAGCTACTTGGAAGGCTGAGGCAGAAGGATCACCTGAGCCCAGCTGGTTGAGGCTGTGGTGGCCATGAGCATGCCACTGCATTCCAGCCTGGGCAACAGAATGCGACTCTGACTCAATTAAAAAAAAAAAAAAAAGATGCTGTGCCTTTCTTGTCCATGTGTTTATATATATTTGTGTTTTCACAGACATTAGTATTTCTATCTTTTTTCTTTCTTTTTTTTTTAGAGACAGGGTCTCACTACGTTGCTGAGACTGGGTTTGAGCTCCTGGGCTCAAGTGTTTTACAAGCTCCTGGGCTCAAGTGTTTCACCTCAGTCTCCAAAGTGCTGGGACTAGAGGCACACCTAGTTAATTTTTTTAATTTTTGTAGAAATGAGGTCATGCTATGTTGTCTGGGCTGGTCTTGAACTCTTAGGCTTAAGTCCTGGCTTCCCAAAGTGTTGGGATTACAGGTGTGAGTCACCATCCTCAGCTGCATGTGTTTATGTTACTATGTTTGATATGTCTTAAAAATTAATTTTTAATTTCCATTTTTTTACTCAACATTGCTTTTGAAATTTAGGTATAATAACATATATTTTTATATATTTTAATTTTGATAAAGATATACTATTCTGATATTGATGAATATTTAAGTTGTTTCTAACCAATGTAGCAAGAACATCCTTGTGTATATCTCCTTGCAATACATAACATTTCTTTCTTTATTGTTTTAATGAAGACTTTTGCTTAAGCTGGGTGGGTGTTTTGTTTTTTTTTTTAACTAAGCACAGGCAACTTAAGAAACTAAAAAAATATTTTCTAGTCTGAGCCTTACTATTTACCTTAGTTTAATTTTTATTTCTTTGTTAAATGCTTGTGATACAGAAAAAAGATCACTAGGAAATATGAAACCTAAGTCTTTATTGCACTTGGGAATAGTTCTATTTAGGAACATTTAAGTCATATGTTTGAACATAAAGAACTTCTGTTTGGAATTCCAGTGGTGGATCACTTCAAGAAAATAAAATGGGAAAATGTGTGTTATGCACCAGCATTTGAATGTTGCTTTGTGCAGAAGCAGTGTCTACCTTTGATTGCTTTTCTCTTGGCATTCCTGAAATCACTTTATCGTGTGGCTGATCAAGAGTGAAATTATTCTTCCTTGCTTCACTGTCTTCAAGCAGGGGAACATAGCAATAACTGTTATCTGCAAGACAGAAACCTCTTGAACATCAGTAGGAAACCCTTATTTTTGGTAGCATCTGAAAAAGTAAAATTAATACAAATTCAAAACCATAATTTTAAAAAATAGGCCAGTTGCAGTGGCTCAAGCCTGTAATCTCAGCACTTTGGGAGGCTGAGGTGAGTGGATTGCCTGAGCTCACAGGTTCAAGAACAGCCTGGGCAACTTGGTAAGACCTCATCTCTACAATAAATCAAAAAATTAGCCAGGTGTGGTAGTACGTGCTTATAGTTCTGGTTACTTGGAAGGCTGAGGCAGAAGGATTGCCTGAGCCCAGCAGGTTGACACTAGGGTGGCCATGAGCAAGCCACTGCACTCCAGCCTGGGCACGGAGTGAGACTCCAACTCAAAAAAATTTTTTTTTTTTAAGATACAAGTGTTAAGGCCAGGCGCAGAGGTGCATGCCTGTAATCCAGCACTTTTGGAGGCTGAAGTAGGAGAACTGCTGGAGCCCAGAAGTTTGAAACTAGTCTGGGCAACATGGTGAGACTTCGTCTCAAAAAAAAAAAAAAAAATTAGCTGGATGTGGTGGCATGTGCCTGTAGTCCCAGTTACTCGGGAGGCTAAGGTGGAAGGATCACCTGAGCCCAGAAGGTCGAGGCTGTGATGAGCCATGATTGTGCTACAGCACTCCAGCCTGAGCAACAGAGTGACACCCTGATTCAAGAAAAAACAAAAACCCATAAATAAATAAATAAATTAATAATACATTAAAAAATTTATTTAGATAATACTTTGACAACTTGCCCATTTAGATTTTTTTCTTCCCATTAAACACACAAAATCTCTATGCTCTCAAAGGCAGTGGTATGTAAAATATATAGAACTTTGAAAACTAGAAAAATGCTCTTTGTATCTTATCAGTAACAATTAAACTTTTACATAACTCATATTTTTAGGTATGCATTTCTAATGTAAGATAATTATTTATACAACTACTCCATGTTTATTGTAGAATAATTAGAGAATGCAGACATGCTAAAAAGAATAAAAAATAAAGGCTACCCACAATTTTTAACATCTGCGAATTATTCCTTTTAATATTTTGGTTTACACTCTATCAAAGTTCTTCTTTTCTTATACATATGTATTCACACAAAACCTTTTTTCTGCAAAATTTAAAATAACACTCTATTTATGCATCCTGTTTTTGTTCATTTTGCTATATATTGTGAACATATTTCTTGTAAGTTAACACCTATTATCACTTTTCTTGGCTACATAGCTATTCATACAGATCACTGTAACTCAACTACTGGATATTTCTTTGCTTCTAGCTTTTCATACTGTGATGCACATCCTTGCATAATATTTTTGAGTATCTGAACAAATCTTTTCTTTTTTTTCTTCAAAGAAAAGGCACACACATTTTATTTAACGAATATACACAGGAGCCTCCAGAATGAAGACCCAACCTCCTAAAGAGTTACAGACACTCAAATGCTATTTCAAGGTGACAGAAAGAAGAGTGGCTTGCATTCTGGTCAAATATTTTCTTATGATATATTCTTAGGACTTGAATTTTTGGTTCAAAAGTCATAGACCTTTTTTTAAAAAAAGCTTTTGCTATTTACTGTAAACTGCCTTTTAGAAAGTTTTATCTACTTAGTTTCCACCATATAGCATATGTGAAAGTCCATTTTCCCATAACCTACAAGTGTTCATTTAAATAAACATAATATATAACTGTATCACAGTTATTATAATATTAGAACTATTGAGAAACAAAAGAATAAAATAGGAAAACTCAACTTGCACTTTTCTTCAAAGAGGCTAAAAAAATACACATAAAATTAACATGAACATACCTCGACTGGAATTCACAAGAAGTAATTGTGATTTTAACTTGTCAATAATAGTTTGTTGAAGTGACAGCTGTTCTTGTTGCTCACGTATCTTCTGCTCATAGTTCTCAGTCTGCTGACATAAAAACCAGTTAGTCTGATATTTACCAGTAGACATGAACACATATTTACTGTCCATTAATACTATAAATAGATATGAGTTGCCCATATTTTCATTTCTCAGGTACTGAGGAAGTATTTATGAGATACAAACTGACTACAGGAACGTACTTGTAATCATTACAGATACCAGTGATTTTTATGATTAAAGCATCATAAAATTTTTTAAGAGGTAGTCTTATTAAAAACAATTTTCAATCAAGAGTTCAATGTATGGTTTTTTTGCCCTTCAGTTAGGAAAAAAATTGTAATTTAGAATTTAATCCTTAATGATAACAAAAAGCATGAATAATAACATGCTATATTAAAGTTATTCTTTAAAAATACACACTAACTTTAAAAATTGAGATACCATATTTTTCAAATAAACCACTTCTGAATTTATTTTCAGAGTACAAAAACACAAAAGAAGTAACTATATATAACTAAGTTGTCATATATAGCTATATATAACTAAGACACTAAGGGACAAATACAAATTATAAAATTATGCTGACCAAAAGCTTCTTTTCTAAGTTTTAAGAAGTCAAGAGAACACCATGTTTGATCTTTAGTGTCTATCTTATTTTGCTATTTTATTGCAGTGGCTACGAGAATTAAGCAAAGGAAAAAGACATGCATTTATCTGGGAGAATACAGATGCCGCAAACCTTCAAGCAAGTTTGAAAATGTTGTATCACAATTATCAAAGTAGTATAATCTTAAAAATATACTACCAAAAAATAATAGATAACTTCTTACCAATTTCTATCATTGGAGGAACAAATAAATAAATGACTAAATATGAAATGGAGTCCTACTAATATCTGGATGACCTTCCGCAAATACTAGACATTTGAATTTAAATAAACTCTTTTTTTTTTTTGAGTTGGAGTCTCACACTGTTGCCCAAACTGGAGTGCAGTGGCATGCTCATAGCCACCCCAGTGTAGACCTGCTGGGCTCTGGCAATCCTTCCACCACAGTCTTCCAAGTAGCAGGAACTACAAGTGTGCTACCACATCCAGCTAATTTTTTGACTTATTGTAGAGATGAAGTCTCACCAAGTTGCCCAGTTGGTCTTGAACCCCTAAGCTTAGGTAATCCTCTTGCCTCGGCCTTCCAAAGTGCTGAGATTACAGGCTTGAGCCACCATGCCTGGCCCTTAAATAAACTTTAATCAAAGTTTAGACTTTGTGAAGTTCTATTATTTTCAGAGACCAGTAAGCTAAAGTTATTTAAATAAATAACATAGTTACAGTCTTCTCTATATACTTCTGTGAAGTTAGAACTTTCTCCAAAGAACTCAAAGTTCTTCACAAACTTCAATCAGTAAGTATCTATTCTTTCACTATATCTTGATAGGTATATATACTCTACAGTACAGAGATTAAGTAACCAGTACAAACACCTAGCAAGATAGATAGGCCCAGAATAAATATCTAAGTTATTCAACTTCAGCCCATCTTCATGTAAGAATTTTCCCCCACCTTAATGAAGAAACCAAATGGCTATATTTTTCTTTTGAAACCAGCTCAGAAAGCTTCTGACAGTTAATTTTTATATTTTACTCTCTGTCTTAAAAACATACTTTAATACATCTGCATAGAACATATTATAGTAAATGAATAATGCTGAAGATGTATTCAATAGCTGGGAAAATTAACAGACCAATGGCTTTTTCAAGTTGAAGTTTTAACTATTTCTTAAATCACTTCAAGTATTAATAAAGCTAGAACAAATTCTGTAATGATTTTAAAAACCAGTACTCTAGAAGTATAGCAGGGGAAACAGAATAGCAATGGTCTACGTTCTCCTCTTGCAATTTTCACATACTTACATTACAGCAGTTATAAAATTCTAATCTAATTGTCTAATGTCCATCTTACCCTTAAACTGAACTTAAGAGCAGAGATGATTTCCTACTGATATCTCTAGAGTATTATAGAGTGCCTGACACATATAGAGATGCTCAGTAAATATTAGATGAATAAACAAAGTAAGTTGTTAGAGAAATATCAGAGAAACAGACATGCCTTCAGAAGTAACCAGAAGCAATGGAGAAATGGCTTTCCTATAAGGGAAACAACAACAACAACAAAAAATAGAAACAAGGTCAGTATGTGAATAAAACAAAGGGAAATTAAGTTTTAGGAAATGGATGCAAAAGATAGGCAACATTTGAAGATATTTTGGGGGGAAAAAAAGGAAGTTTATACCATTAGAAAAAGGGTAGAAATTTGGGAAGAGAAATATATATATATTCAGAAAAGAATATAAAGATTTTGATCACAGGCTATGAGAGGGGAATTGAGAAATAACCAGTACAATTAAATTCATTTGCCATGTTTGGCAACTAAATAAGTTTTTTCCTCTATTTATTAAATGTTTTTGTTCATTGAACACATCTACCTTAACTTAAAACCTAAAAGTCCTTTTCAACGGTCAGGTAATTATTGCACAGTCACAATATTTCTTTTAAAAAAACAATACTATTACAAAGCAAGTACATTCCAGCACTATCAAAAACTCCACAAAACAGAAAAATCACTAACAACCACATTGAAAATGTACAACAGCAATGTCTTGTCAACACTTCTGTACAGAGCACAGACATGACAGCTAAAACAGACAGAAGAGAAGATGCTTTTGACAGCCAGTGTGTGTGAATGATTCTCTGAGTCAGATGGCAGCAACAAGTTACCAACTAGGAGATCTGCATGACAACTAACCATCCATCTGTATCAAACACCATCTGGCCAAGATGACTCTGGCTTCTGTGTATTTGACACTCCTTTCAATTCCAAAGACTAGCAAAACAAGTGGTCTACCAGCATCTGAAGAGGTAAACAGGTACTTAGATACTTGTGCCATAAGGTACTTTATATTCGTTCTTAGTGTTCAAAGCAAAACTTAAAACACTGGTGATCAACTATAGCATGCATCTTAAATTTACTAAAAATGAATGTCCATACATACTCTAAACTATCATAAATAAAGCAAGATGTTTATTTTAAGAATTGCCCTTTTATCCAGGCAAAATTATAATACTTCTTCAAAACTAAGGCAACATATTTCCTATAATTTTGGACATGCAGCTGTACAATTTTTCATGAGTTTCATAAATACTACAGTTTCATAAATTGATTTTTTCCATTGCTGACATTGAATATTCTCATTTTTCATATTTTTCAAGGCATTTGTTCCTTACATAGGAAAAACAAAGTTCAAGTCCTTAAATTACCTATAATATTCCAAATAGGCCAAACATTATTTCTTCTCATCCTCAAGAATTAATCTCATTCTGAAAAATACCATTGTTTTCCTCCAATGATTTACTAAGAAATTTAATAAATGTTGAGTAGATTGGGGAAAAAAGTCTCAAATTAAAAACCTCTCAAAATTGTTCCAAGATTAACAGAGAATGAAAGCTTTATTGAAGGATTTGCTTGGCTACCACAAATACTCTCAACAGGAAGCTCCACAGTTCATGAAGGAAGATAATTGAATATTAACTACTCTAATACATAGCACTTTAGACACAAACTAATTAATTTAGACACAACCTAATTAAAATCTTGAAATTTTGGTAAGCTAAGCATCAGCTTCAGTTTTTAAGTTTTCTTTGTTAAGTATGAGATAAAATACGATTACCAATCAGGAGATCCTGGCTTATACAGCTTTTTCTTCAACCATTCTCTACTTAATAGGTTATAAAGCTTGCACACTCTTGCCCTCAGTACGGACACTTATCTAGGAGATCTGCAATTTGACAGGTTAGATTACTAATCTAATGACCTACTATAAGGTAACAGTACTGCCACTTCTCAGCATGCCAAATAGTAAACTATGACCAACTATTTTTATTTTACAATTCTGTGTTTTGGTCCTAATTAACTTACTTGCCTCTTTGAGCCTTTGGTTTTTCTTTGAAATGAAAATAACACATACTTGAAGGATTGAAGGAGACTGAATATGTAAAATATCTGTCTAACAATATGCTTTTTGCAAATGTTTGTTCCTTTCTTTTAATAATGATCAAGGTATCTACATAATACCTAAAGCCATGGGAATGGGACCACTGCACAGAGTCCACACTAGGGCAATGCCTAGTGGAGTTGTATGGGCAAGGATGTCCCTGATACCCTAGGACCAGTAGAACCTATTAGTGTGCAACTCCAGCCTGGGAAAATAAAAGGCATGCAACTCCAATATGTGAGAGCTGCAGCTGGCAGCCATGGGTACGGGGTCATCTGAAGCCTTGAGGGCCCAAACCCTATCCCAGTGTGTCCAGAAGACAAGACATGGAGTTAAGATTATTCTCAAGTCTGAAGGCTTAATGTTTGCCCTATTGGATTTTAGATCTGGTTGGAACCTGTTATTATCCCTTTTTTCTTTCCTACTGCTCTCTTTTGGAATAGAAATGTTTATCCTACACCTGTCCCACCATTGTCTTATGGAATCACATAAGGTATTTAATTTCACAGGCTCACAACTGGAGACGAATGTGCCTCTGATGAATTGTACTCGAGTCCTATCTCTACATCTGATTTAGATAATATTTAGATGAGACTTTGAACTTAGATTTTGAAGTTGATGCTAGAGCAAGTTAAGACTTTTGGGGCTTTTGGGATAGAATAAATGTATGTCACATGCATGTATCTCACATATTTTATATGTGAGCAGGACTACATTTTGGGGGCCAGGGGCAAAATGCTATTGTTTGAATTTGTGTCACCTCCAAAATTCATGTTAAAACTTAATTCCCCTTGTGGTGGTATTAAGAGGCAGGGCCTTTTAGGAGGTGATTAGGTCATGAGGGATACTTCCACATGAATGGGATTAAGGCCTTTATAAAAGAGGCTTTACAGAGAGTTCAGCCCTTTTTGCCTTCTGTCTCTTCTCCATGTGAGGGCACAGCCTTCATCCCCTCTAGAGAATGTAGCAACAAGGTGCCATCTTGGAAGTGGAGAG